TAGGGCTGATCCCAAAAAAAAAAAAAAAAAAACCTGTCCCACCAGCATTTCCACATGGCAGCCTACTCTCTCTAACCTCTTAAATTTTGCCCCAAATCCTGAATCGGAGACAGATCTGAGGTCACACACCCCCTGTTCACCCTGCAGATAGATCTCACGGAATAAAGCTGATCTCTTTCCCCAAAGGCTGATGCCATAATTAATCGGCTATTTATGCAGATCAGGCAAGAGAACCCCAATTTTGTGTGGTAACAAGGTCTGGGAGGGTCCCGAGCACAGGAGCTCTGTCACCATGGAGTTTGGGGTGCGTCACCCTCCCATCTTTTTGGGTTTTTGTGGAGATTCCATTCCATAGGCAGGATTGATTCAATCCTTGGCCGTTGGGGATTAACTCAATCTCCAGCCCCTCTCCCCTCCCTGAGGTTGGGGGTGGGGCTGAAAGTTCTGACCCTCTAATCCCATCTAATCACGTGGTTGCTTCCTCTGGTGACCAGCCCCCTTGCTGAAGCTCTGGGGGGCCCACAGATTCACCTCATTTGCATAATCTCAGGTGTGGTTGAAAGGGGTTTATTATGAATAACAAAAGACACTCCTCTTACCCCTCTCACAGTTTTAAGAGCTTCTACGCCAGGAACCGGGGATGAAGATCAAATATGTATTTCTTATTATATCACAATATTACGCCATGCAAAGCCCCAACCACCAAACTCTAGGCCCCTGGACCCCAGAACCGGCCTCCCAAGCAGCTCAGCCCCCCTTCCAGGGCTGCTCAGACCTCTTCAGCTCCCGAAGGTTGGCCCAAGAGGGACCAAGGGGGCCACGTATGGGGATGCCTTGACCCCTGGTGATCCACCCCTACTGCAGGCCCTCCCACTAGTGCCTTGTCCTGGGGTCACAGCACAGGGACACTCCTGTGCAGGAACACGTTTCCTCCATCCCTGCTGACCTGGCACGGCCAGGTGTGAGAGCGTAGAAGATATATCCATCAGTCTCTGCCTCCAGTTCCCGGCACAGAGCTCCTGAATCTCTTGTGATTTCCTGGGTGATAGGAGCATCTTTTGTCCTAATAAGGTGGGGGCTGGTCACCAGAAGGAGCAAGCCATGATCAGAAGCCTGGAACTTTCAGCCCCACCTCCCATCCTCCAGAGAGGGGAGAGAGGCTTAATGATTGATCATGCCTGCATGATGAAGCTTCCATAAAATCCCAATAGCATGGGGTTCAGGGAGCTTCCAGGCTGGTGAACAGGTGCACGTACCAGGAGGGTGACGCACCCCAACTCCATGGGGACAGAAGCTTCTGCACTCGGGACCCTCCCAGACCTTGCCCTGTATGTCTCTTCATCTCACTGTTCATCTGTATCCTTCATCATATCCTTTAATAAACTAGTCAATTTAAGTGTTTCTTGAGTTCTGTGAGCTTCTAGTAAATTAATCAAACCTGAGGAGGGGATCATGGGAATCCTGATTTATATCTGGTTGGCCGGAGCACAGGTGACAACCTGGACTTGTGATTGCTGACTGAAGCGTGCTGGGAGGGACGTCTCATGGGACTGAGCCCTTACACTGTGGGGTCTGACGCCATCTCCGGGCAGATGGTGTCAGAATTGAGTTAAGTTGTCGGATCCCCAGCTGGTGTCGCAGAGAATCGCTTGGTGTAGGGAAAAACCCAGACATTTGGTGACCGGAAGTGAAGTGTTCTGTGTGAGTGTAAAGAGACTCATGGGGAAGAAAGACACAGGAGGAAGACCTGGGTTTTCCCTACTTAGGAGATAAACAAAACTGAGTTTTTCCAATTTACCAGGCCATCCAAAGACAATCAACTTCTATCAAATTTCCTCTCTCTGTTGAATTAATAATTATGTTGAGAAATAAAACCAAAGAGAAAAGCCATGTTAGAAAAAGTCAACGTGAAAATAGGAAATTGGGTCAGACCTTTAACTGGTGCATTTAACAAGAGACTAGATGCCCCACTCGCTGTGCTCGGGCCACCCCTCCCCTGTGGGCACACGTCACCCTCACCGCTCCGAAACCGGGCTGGCTCAGCCCAGAGCGAGCCTGCGTTCCGCCAAACGGCAACTCAAACGCCCTCTCGCTTCCTCTGACCAGCGCTCTGGAGAACGTGTGAGTGTCCAAGGATGCAAAGGGGAGACAGGGCTCCTGCTTGTGCAGAACTTAGAGAAAGAGATAATTTATCCCAAAAGGGGCCAATGAAAACATCCATAATACTTAAAAATGACATTTACGTGAAAATAATATTAAAATAGCAAGGGACCATAATTCCACCAAGAAAATAAAGTAACAATAAGTACAGAAAGTCTCAAGTTTATGTATTCGTGTCAGAAACCCAACCACCGGAGGGAACAAGTGGGACTGAGGAAGCCCCCCCTCAGCCTTTCTTCAAAAGGAACGTGTGCAGCTTCTTGTGTTTTATTTCTAGGAAGAAAAGCTATGTAAACCCACTTGCAGATCTATCCACGTACATCAACAGAGGTCACATCGTGCACGTCCTGCAGCTTCCTCCACGTTAACAGGAGACTCTCCCTCTGCCACGCCGTGGCAGACACATCTCCCAGTTATCATGCTATTTGACTGTGTTTATGGTATTTTTCCCACTGGAAGGCTTAAGATTTTATGTGGCTAAATCCATTGGTCTTTCTCCTATGGCTCCTGAGCTGTCTTTCCTGATGAAAGCCCCATTTCCTTGTGATCCTGAGTCCAGCATCCAGGGCCCACGACTGCCCCTAGCGGGAAAGCGAGGACCCTGCTGCTTGCCGGAGCCCAATCGTGGGGCTCACAGGCCCGGAGCATGTGTGGGCAGGACGCCATCGGACGCCATCCTAAAGGAAAGGCAAGATGTCTCCGGTGTCTGCCCTGGTCTGGCTCACAGACGCAGACACATCATGCTGCCAGGGCTTGGGCGGGGGGCTCTCGCAGCTGTGTTTACACTAGACATTCCCAGGGCCACCCCTACTGGGCAGGACAAATGACCTAAGCTGCAGGCAGCTTCCCTGGGAGGTTGGCCGGGGGTCCACACTCGGCCGGCTGTGGCGGCCAGGGGCTGAGTCGGCCAGGGGCTGAGGCTGCCGTGGTCCCACCCTCGTCCCTCTGGGAGACGGCAGGGCCTGCCAGGCTCCTTTCCAAATTCCCTGCTGCAGCCTGTGGACCTGACGCAGATGGGGTGTCCACTGGTTCTCAGCAAGAATGAGAAGGGGTGACTCGGCCCTGGGATCCTCCCACTCCCCAGACCCAGGAAGCTGGCCTTAAGCCCGGCCAGGACTTACGCGCTAAGGGCAGCCGCTGAGGGGCCGGCCACGTGGAGCACAGTGGGCAGGAAGCCGGCGGTAGGTGGGAGGGCAGTGGCCGAGACCACTGAGGGCCACAGGGAGTAACCCACTGGGGAGCCAGCTGCAGGGACGGCCTGCAGTGGGGCTGGGGGCGTGTAGTGGTGGTGGTGATGCACGGCTGGCGGCTTCTGCCTCTCAGTTCGCAGGATGGCGCGGTGCGCCTGCTGGGGGTCCTGGGTACAGCACACACACCGGTCCATTTCAACGGGACCCTGGGCCGCTCTCAGCCACCCCCTTTCCCTCCGCCTGGTTCCTGACTTAGGGTGGGATTGGAGCCCTGGATGGGCAGCTATGGGCAGGGGGGCCAGGAGGGGAGGGCGAGGCTCCAGCAGGGCTCATCTGGCTTAAGGAAGCAGCTTTCTGGGCCCCGAACTGCACAATCCACTCTTCATCTGGGGTGGGACAGGGGACCACTGCGGGGCTGCACAGACGGGTCACAGACCCAGAGCCAGAAATGTGCTTTTCAGAGTTAGGCAGGTGTGCAATTTCCAGAGAAAAGCCACCCCAGGTCCCCTGGTTTTGATTTGGGCGTTGCCTTTGCCTTGATGTCTGCTCCCGGCTGAGCCTACCTGCAGCGTGGGGTGCCGGGGGGCGGCCTGCGGTCCTCCAGAGGGCATGAGCGCTGAGGGGGGCAAGGCTTTGAGCATCAGGTTTTGCATGATGATCTGGTGCATCTGTGCATTCTGCATCAGCATCAGCTCCACCATGTCTGAAAGGAGAGGCCAGGAGGGGCTCGGTCATTCTAGGACGGCGGCCGATTAGCGGGCCTCTCCTGAGAACAAAGCTTCCGAGTCTCCTATTTGTTGAAATAGACGTAGTGCATTACAAGCAACGGAGACCCTTCCGCACAGGTATCCAATGTGCAGGTCTGTGGGGGCACGTCCTGGGATGTGAAACGCCTAGGTCAGAGAGTGTGCGCTTCAAAGTGCTGGTGACGGTGTCCAGCTGGGCTCCCAGGAGGCTGCTCTGCTTTGCCTTCCTGCTACAGGATTCCACAAGTCCACCTGGGCTGCATGGTGACCCCCCAAAAGTGTCTACCTCCTAGTCCCCAAGATCCCTGACTGTGACCTTAATTGGAAGAAGGGTCTTTGCAGATCTAATTAAGGATCTTGAGATGAGATCATCCTAGATTATCCAGGGGGCCCTAAATCCAAGGACAAGTGTCTTTATAAGGCAGAGGCAGAGGGAGATTTGAGACAGACAGAAGAGGAGACACAGACAGAGGAGAAGCCACATGGAGACGGGGCAGAGACAGAAGCGATGTGGCCACACGCCCAGGAACACCTGGAGCGGCCGCTGGAAGAGGCAGGAAGGATCCTCCCCAGAGCCTCTGTAGGGAGGGTAGCCCTGTGACACCTTGACTTCGGACTTCTGGCCTCCAGAATTGAGAGAGTACATCTGTGTTGTTGTAGGCCCCCCAGCTCGTGGTGCTTTGTTAAGGCAGCCCCGGGGAAATTAATATATTCACCAACCCTGGATACTATGAAATGTAAATTTGTGTCAGTGTGAGAGGTAAACACGGATTCTTTCCACAGCAACTAGGCCCTGGAAATACGGCAGCCCTTGAAGGTCCCCAGGATCTCTCTCACTCCCACTCAAACAATCTGAAGCCTGGAGGCCACGGGTGCTCCCACAGGCGCAGCCAGGAGCCAGGGTGCTGGCAGGGGTGCCGATGCCCTTCCACTCAAACCGCAACTCTTTCTGGGGTCTCCCGCCTGCCGGCCCACCCCGCAGATTTTGGACTAGCTAAGCCTTCTTGACCACATGGGCCAATTCCTTAAAAGACATCTTTCTCTCTCTCTATGCATATCCTGTTGGCTCTGTTTCTCTGGAGAGCCCTGACTAACGCAGATTTTGCCACAGGTGCCACGGGGGGCGGGAGGACAGAGCCTGGGTCTTGCAGCAACACAGCTGTGGGAACTCTTACCTACAAGATAAGACAGTGGGGAGGTTGATCCTGGCATTCTGGGCCAAGACCCTGGAGGAGACTACGTGGGCCTGGGCCTGGGGCAGCCCCGTCCAGCAGCAGCAGCAAGCCCTCTGAGGGGAAGGTCCCCCAATGGGGTCTGCAGGATCCCCACTTGTAGACTAAAGTGTGAGAAGATTAGACAGCAGGAGGGTGCAGACACAGACCCACGCCCGCTGCTGCCTCATGACAAAGGTCGGTGCAGTGGGGAGACAGGGTTGAATTGACATCCATGGCAAAACCCATGATGACCCCTAACTCGAAGCACACACAAAAATCTACTCCAGACAGATTGAAAATCTGAGTGTAAAAGATAAACAAAGCCACAGGAGAAAATAAAGAAGGGCATTCATGACCTCGAGTGGGCCAGGTCTCTCTCTGCGAGAGAGGGAACGCTGAGGTGCTGCCGGGGGCTTATGAAGGATCATCTCACGATGATAGAAATGATTTGAATTTACCTAATAGGTAAATTCAAACAGTATTTTGTGTATGAAATTGCACTAGTGTCTACTTTTGTGAAGCTCTTCTCAGAGGTGGAGCTGAAAGGGAGCAGGACTGGGTCAGGCCAGAGAAGCAAGGGAGCCAAGGGTCCCAAGTTCCTTTTGTTACAGGGGAGGAGGTGGCTCAAGATAGTGTGTGTTTAATTTTATATGAAACAGCCCAAGAGTTCTCCAAAGTGGTTGTTACAGTACTTTTGAGATTTTGTATTTTTACCTTTAAATATTTGATTCAGTCAGGACTTGTTTGGTATAAGGAGTGGGGTAAGGAGTTTGACTTTACTTTTTCTAAGTAGCTAGCTACTTACTGAATATTTCATTCTTTGCCACTGATTTTAAACACCACTTTTTCTCTTTTAGGCACACAAGCATTTGCACACACATACGGCACACGTGCACGCACACAAACACAGATCACCACACGCATGGTTTGCTCGGTTTGCCTCTGGACCCTAACAGGCTGTCACTAAAGTTCGCCGGGAAGAACCAGCAGTGAGTCATGAGGAGAGACGCAGATGCCCCTGGGAGTGCACACGCTGTGTCTCTGCAGCTCCAGGGGCACCTGTGTGGGTCACAGTGTGAACAGGCCCCGCGTGGGCTGTGTGGCCACCTTGGACCAGGCCTGTGTATTAACAGCACACGGTGGAGCCACAGTAACTAAACAGGCTGGTACTGGTCACTGGGACGGAACTGAGAACACTGCTCAGAAGACTGATTCCACACACGGGTCTGCCCCTAGACTCCTAATCCATCAGTCTTTAGGGAAATGCAAATTAAAACTACAGTGAACTACCACTAGCCTGCTATTAAAATGGCTGAGATTAAAAAGACTGACCAGACCAAGTGCTGGTGAGGATGTGAAGGAAGTGGAACTCTCATACGTGGCTGGTGGGAGCGTAAAATGGTGCAGACACTATGGAAACAGTTTGGCCATTTTTTGAAAAGGTAAACACACACCTGCCATATCATTCAGCCATTATTCCACTCCTAGGTAATTACTCAAGAGAAATGAAAACCTATGTCCGCGGGAAGACTCAGACATGAATGTCCATGGAGCTTTTGTGGTGCTAACAGAAAACTGGAAAGAACCCAAAGGTCCATCAACAGGTGAAAGGAGATGTAGACGGGCCCATCCACACAGTGGAGTGTTACTCAGCAATGGCAAGAGTCATGGTTTGATGCACCCAACTAGAGTGATGAGATTAAAACCATTCTGCTGAGTGAAAGAAGGCACATAAAAAAGAGTACGTACTGTGTGATTCCATTTATATAAAAATCTAGAAAATGCTAACTAACACAGCATGGCGAAAGCTGACCAGCAGTTGCTTGTGGGGGGCAAGAAGGAGGGAGTAAGCAGGGCCATGGAAAACTTGCAGGGTGATGGATGTGTTCACATCCTTGATTTAGTGATGGGTTCACAGGTATTTACATATGTCAAAACTTATGAAATTGTACACTTTGTGCAATTTATTCTATGTCATCTCAATAAAGCTGTTTTAAAGTCAAATATTTAAAGGTTATTTAAAAAGCAGCAGCGGGCTGGCTCCGTGGCTTGGCGGTTAAGTGCGCGCGCTCTGATGCTGGCGGCCCGGGTTCGGATCCCGGGGGCGCCCCGAGGCACCACTTCTCCGTCCAACGTGAGGCCGGGTCCCATGTACAGCAACTGGAAGGATGTGAACCTATGACATACGGCTATCTACTGGGGCTTTGGGGGGAAAAAACTGAATAAATAAAATCTTAAAAAGCAGCAGCAAATTAACCAAGGTTTTGGTAGAGCTAATAATTGGATGAGTTGGGACTGGAGCCCAATTCCTTCAATCCTAGTCTAGGCCTCTTTCTTTTACCTCTTACTTTCTTCCCTCAGATTGTCCACCATATAAGGATTTTTCAAAGTTAAAATTATTTTCATCTTTCATGTAAATACATAGCTTCAGTTGAGTAGACAACAGCTGACCCTATGTAACTATCCTGATTAGAAAATATTTTTTGTTTCAGTTGAGAATTTCATAAACTCATAACAATTTAATGGAACACTTACCTTCCTTAATACTTCCTGACCTTTGAGTGGGGAAGGCCTGGGGAGGGGGAATCTGTGCTATGAGTGGCTGCTGAGGCAGCTGCTGAATGATGGTGGCAGGAGGCTGGGGGACCTAGGAAAAGCCAGATGGAAAGTTACCTGAAAGTGCCCTTGGAGAGAGTGTTCTACAGCATCCACCCATGCACCCATCTACCCATCTGTCTACCAACCCACTCACCCACCCACTCACTCACTCAACCACCCACTCACTCACTCAACCACCCATCCATCCACCCGCCCACCCACCC